TTCCTAACTGCTAACTCCTGTCCCCTAGCCTCTAACCGCTAATTCCTAACTGCTAACTCCTGTCCCCTAGCCTCTAACCGCTAATTCCTAACTGCTAACTCCTGTCCCCTAGCCCCTAACCGAGTACCAACATGGCGGCTGGTGACTTCACTGCAGCCCGTACTACCAACAGCCTATCAGCAATCCAGTGAATAAATAGAGATCAGTGCAGTGATTATCTTACCCAAGAGTCAGTTAACTGAGTTCACTATGAAGTTCACTATATAGTGATGGAGGGGTCAGAGGTCAGGGAGCATCTTAAGCATTCATCCTTCCCACACAGATCTACCTCATCTAGATCTATGAGCCTCCTCAGCATGTTTGGATAGTTTAAACTCAGCTAACCCATCAAGGCGACGTTAATAACCTGTGAAAGATTCATCTTTCATCAAAAGTCGGGATTAGAATGAAGATTATTTGTATAAATCATCCAAAGCATCAAACTACTGGAAGCTCTTCTTCTCCTTCAGACCTACAGAGATAAAAATGTGAAGAGAAGGAAGCTGCGAGTCCTTCCAACAGTCAGTTAACCGCTGAGATGATGTGAGACAAGCATGGCGACGAACACAGCAGCTCTACGTGATTGGTCTGCTTACATTCCAGCAGCATGATGTCAGCATGAGAGGAAAACGTGACAGAAACAGAGCAGGTGAAGCTGCTTCAGACCCAACATGCTAAAAGGTTTTACTTGAAGTCTTTGGTGATGTTTTCAAAGGTTTTGGGGTCCTTCAGACGTTCCGCCAGGGCATCTGAAGCCTGTTTCACCAACACGGGGCAATCTGCACTTTCTGAGGCCAGCGAACGCCACACCACCTCCAGGTACTCTGAAAAGCAGAGAGAAGGGAATCATTGCTGGCATCCAGGCCCAACTGAAAGGCTCCAGGGAGGGACGATCTGAGCAGCTTCCTCTGAGCTCCAGACCAGGAGGGAAATCTACAACCATGGAAGTGTGGAGGTCAAAGGGCAGACGGACGACTCAGCACCAGCGTCTGAAGCCAGCTGTGGAACAAGTCAGCCTGAACATCGATGCGCTTCCTTCAGGCCACAGTGAGTCAGAGGCGGCGGCGTGTGGCTGGGAGCAGGTCTATGCAGGAGGAAACCAGCAGCTGAAGCTCCGCCCACTGGCTGAGCCTAACATGAACCCCCAACGATCCGACCCCCATCAGATGACTGCTGCAGAGACGTCTGATCCATGATGAAGACTGAGGAAGAGGAGGAGGAGAAGCAGCAGCTACGCTCCACTGAGCTCCGTGGAGCGGCCTTTAGCTGATGGAGTTAAACCGTTAACTGAGGCATAGAGCTGGGGCCCTGAGCAAGACCCTTAACCCCACACTGCCCCCCGGGCGCCGCACCATGGCAGCCCACCGCTCCCCGGGCGCCGCACCATGGCAGCCCAATGCTCCCCGGGCGCCACACTGCCCCCCAGGCACCGCACCATGGCAGCCCACCGCTCCCTGGGCGCCGCACCACGGCAGCCCGCTGCTCCCTGGGCGCCGCACCACGGCAGCCCG